TGCTAGTTGGTTTATAAATATATATAAAATACATGTTGCAGAGTAACATGCACACAGAGATAATTCGGCAGACTACTGCTAAGCCAGTGAGCAGCGTTGTACCTAAGCACCGCCCAACAGGGTTGTAACTACCCTTCCAACGGGTCAAACACATCAGCACAAAGGGAAAAAGTACACGAACATTGCAGCGCACTAAACTCTAAACCAACATGCTACACCTCTGAACATATTTTAGCAGTGTTTCACTGGAAAGAGCTGCAGTGGGGGTGGGCAGGGGCGGGTGGGCGCGCGTGCATTCACCTGAAGGGTGGTTCCACCTCGCATAACTTATGAATGTTAATATTTCAGGGTAGGAAAGTGAAAGTAGTTTGTATGACGAGGATTATGCACAAAGCGCTCACTGCGGCGTCCGCAATTATCTCGGTTCGGTTTAATTAAATGCTTCTACGTTTTAAAGCAGAATGCACGCTGTAAAGTTTTGAAACTCTCGCTTTCTGTTGCAGGTTATTACACTGTTTAGGATTTATTATTTGCGTATATAACTCACGGGACCTTGTGTTATGGTACTAGACAACTGATATAAATATATAGATACTTTTTTTGTAAATACATACATGATATGTACAATAAACACATAAATATTTGAGGAAGGCGATATGCTGAATCTCTATGTTTATTAATGTAATTGGACTGAAATAATAACAGTTTCTCCCTGCAACTTCATCGGTTTGATTTAGTAAAAGAGTATATGTTTTTCTGTATTCAAAATCTATTTATATATATATATGTGCATAGATTTGATATAAAGACGAATATACGAACTATTCTTCCAAGCCGTTACGTCATAAAGACAAAACAAAAAAACTACCACATGTCTTCGTACAGCGTCATCAAATGACAATGATTCTGTTTTTTTATTTATTTTTTATAATTTTATTTTTTTATTTAAATATACATCTAAGATTACAGTAACATATTTTTTGCGTTACACAAACAATAAGTCTTTTTAAACATATAACATTTAAGTGAATGATGATTCTGATTACCCCACCTGGTAATGTAGTCGTGAAGTTATATTATATATATTTCCAAGTATCGATTTAGTGGAACGTCAAAATAAGGGCACCATAACCTGTTAAAATATCCGAAGTGAAACTCCATTGTCAGCCGATAGGAAGTTGTATTTATTGTGTCGAACGGCCTGAATTTACTGTATCGATTTACAGAAACGCTACCGGGTACTGTCTGTACGATAGCACCGGTTCAAGTCTCATTTATCCATTTTCAGTCTCATTAAACAACTACTAATCTAGATTTTGTTCACGTGACCAGGTTTGAACGAGAATGGAATCAATGTAGGACATTTTAGCCGCTTATGAACTTCAAGTTTTTTTGTAATAATATTTTTTAGACATGTTGCGGCCTCCTTGACAGGACTGCTTGCTGGCCGGTTATAAGACGTGACTAGGACAGACGAAAGAATTGACAAGACAGACACGACAAGGAAAAAGACGGACAATTACATAGATATTTGAATAATTAGATTTTACTTTTAAAACAAACTCTCTTCTTTAATTACGACGACATTTCTCAACGGTCGGCCGACCAGCAGACCGTTCAGGACATTTGAGCTGCTTATGAACATCAGCTTTTTTGTATGTGTGTAATATTTTTCCCCTACGATTTCTCCTTTCGGTTTTCCGTCCCATGATGATATCGTTTACGTCCACAAAAAAAACAATCAAATAATTTCCACTGAACTGAAAAAAACATTTAATCTCTTTTAATAATTGTTACTTTTACAAAAAGATTTTGTCATTCATTTTTTTTAAATAGATAGATTATCTCTACATTGATTGATTAGATCGCACCTATGTGAAACCGGGATTGGTCGCTAGTATTGTACAAATATGCTATTCATAAAAGTAACTGCAACAACAAAACCTATTTGAATATACCTACGACGAATGTACCTTGCAAACATAACCACTTCATTATCCGATATCTCGACTGTACAAATAAAAACTGTATGCAATACAGTATAGTAGATATTGTATACAATATATACAGATAGGTACAGTTCGTTGACCCCTAAAAAGTAATAGCAAAACCGTTTGCATGCAACGCCTTCCTAGATTCTACTGAATAATGCAAAATCGCATCCGAAGTGCATCCGTTCGATGGGGTAAAGCTGCGATCACAACAACTGGCAACGAAGATGTAAGATATACAAATGTGTATAAGAAAGTAAAAATGCTAGGTAGCATATCATCTGTATATATCTACTGATAGATACAGACTTTCTTTAGTACTTTCTATAATGACCAAACCTCTACTTGTCATACAATGGATTACAATGGCATAGACCCATTTGCGCTAATGCTTTACGCTGGCGGGGCACCAGTGGAGGACGATGACAAGAACATATCAGATAACCCATCGTGACAAATTTATCATGATGGTTTCCGATAGGAACCGTGTGAAGGTACATTAGCAATGGGGTCAACAGACCACATTACTAACAATCCCCACATTGCTACACATTTACATCGAGTTTTTAAATCACCACGCAAAACAAAAATAAGTTAGAATTTCGAAATACAGTTTCCTAGCCTTGGACCTATCAGGCCTAGTCAAGTGTCGAAGCAACTCTGGAACTAACTTCTAGTAAAAGACAAGATGACATAATTAATGATACAGTTACTAGCTACTCGCCCCGGCTTCGCACGGGTGTACTCGTATTATAAATCTAAATCTTCCTCTAGAATCACTCTATCTATTAAAAAAAAATTGCTTAGTTTTAAAGATTTAAGCATACATTGGGACGAAGAGACAGCGCCAGCGATTGTGTTTTATACTCTGTAATGATATTCAAAGATTTGTCAGATTCCTCAAAGTGTTGCATGTATGCATTACACCTAAAGTCATCTTCGGTGAAGCACAGATTGTACCTAATCCACCCTGGCTCCCATTTCTCTACACACCTAATCCTCTAGATGAAAGAATTGTTGTTCTCCGATACAGGCAATTTCTTTTAAATTCTCAATGCAAGCACTTACAAAAGACTTCAGCGTAATGGGGTAGCTGAATAAAAAAGTGGAGTAACCATGTACAACTTGACTAATTGTCCCTAAACGATCCCTTGAAACGATTCTAGTTAAATTACTAGGATTACCTTCAGACTTTAATAATACTCTGCCAATGTGCTAATTAGCGCATATTAAACCACTATAGCATCATCATCCACAGAAAACTAAAACTACAACTCCCTGAAGTTATCGCGACTTATTCATTAAACAGAACAGCAAAAAGCTTTTATTTTCCATCGTCCTACTTAAGCATTCCGTTTACATGAAGAGAACATATTTCAAGACATCAAACTGACAACAAATGTAAGGGCAACTCAAAATCCACCGCTCCGTATTCCCCACGGATATTACGACTTTGCGGTCTGAGCGAGCATTCTAACGATCAGATCGACCTGAACTCCTTGCCCCGGTGAGGTACGGTCGCGTGCACCTCGCTGTAATCTCGAAAAACGAAAGTAATTTACATAAGGTCTCGTGATAGTAGCTATCAGACGATATACTCTCACATGTGTTCCGAGCAGTAAAAAGTTCACCGTCTAGACATTTCGACCAGGAATGCGATGGGAAAACCTCCATCTCTTTCTATGCGTCAAACATGCGCAGTCCAGCCCGCGTCAGAGGGAGACAACAGGTGGCTCTGAATAATTCAGGGGGGTGCGGGTGGCTCCAAGGTCAGAGCACGGAAGCGTCTGGCTCGAGTGTATTAAGATTATAAATTATACATTATCGATCTGCCGGTAAATCGACTCCAGCTTAGGTACTATTTAATGAAATTTGCACGAGTGCAGGCTCGACTCTAGGAATTTATTCCCAAGCATACCAAATAAGGAAGACAAAACTAATGCACATGGCATATCAGCTGAGATCCTACGCAATATTAAGAGATCATCATTACACACAGACAGCACAAAATATATTGTTCCCGGACTCCTCGTGTGTTGCCATTCATGATGTTTGCTTCAACCTGCCTCTATACTCTGTAATTCCACTACGATTACTTACTCTTTAAATCAGAAGACAATGAGCAAACTGCTGCTCGCAAAAATAGGTGATACGTTGGACAATTTTGTACAAATTCTTCCTCAGGCACATTATTTTTAATATATCTCATGAACCTTTTTGGAAATGTTATTACAGTCCGTAGGTATTAGCTATTACTAGATGTTTCAAGGTAACAGAGGGCTAGGAGCCCTAAGGGAAAGCCACAGCGAATGTCCGACCCGCGTACCTGTCTCTACAAAGGCCTAATTATTACAAAGGCCTCAGACGACTCGGTACATAGGATAATGGCCGGAATAGTGGCCTGTCTTGAACACTTGAAGTTTAAACGTAATCTGTAACTAGTGTAAAGGAATTTGATAAACGTCTAGGTATCGAAGTTAGCCTTTGGTCCTGAAGATTTCAAATTTCACTGATCAAGATTATAGCTGTCTGCTGACTTCAGAGAAATGTGGACGTTTAAAGCGTATTTCAATAGAGTAGATTATAGTTTATTATTTAAAAATGCACAGTGATCTGCTGATAAAAAAAATACTTATTAAGGGATGAAATACTAGGGGTGTCACTTGAAAATTGGTTGCGGCATAATTTAAAAACTTCTATTGTTAATTATTTTTCAACAGTAGATTAATAAATAGCTAAGAAAAATAATATATTATAGTAAAAATACATATGCACTACCATGTTTTTGACACACAGACCATAGAACCATAATTATTAATTTTCAAATCTGCTTCTTCTTTATCCCATTTATTTGGGGTCGGAGTAATATGTTTTTCTCTATTATTCTATTCTATTCTCTAATATTCAAACTTATGGTTTAAATTAATTATAATCGAATTTATACCATTGGGCTACCAGTATTTATTATGATTTATTATATATACTTAATAAGATGTCTGTTTGTTGCAGTGGACGGCGGTGAGCCCGCTGGACTACGGCTAGGTGCTCGCGGCTCGCTCGGCCAGGCGCTGCTGCATGGGCTGCTGGCGCCGGCGCCTGCAGCTCGTCACCATCTCTACACCGCACCCAACACAGGTCAGCATATCTTTCCTTACAGACATACATACAGCGTATAAAGGAAAACATTTTATTGTCATATCTATGGTGCACATAACATAAGGAATGCAAATAAACATTTCATTCGTTTCATTCCAATTCATTATTTTTTTGGTTTAATTTCATTTCCTATACAAATTTCAACTCTATTATTTTTAATTCAATGAATTTAATTTTAAACAAGTATTAAATAGAATAAAAAGTTTCTTAATTAAATAAATTTAAACACTTTTGAATATTACTTTTTTTTTAATCGACCGCTGATTCGGAAATCTGTCTCGTCACAAAAAGAACGTAGTAGAAACTTGCGTGTTGCCCTTTTAAATAAATGTTGTTGTAAATAAATGCAAACGAATAATAATAAAATATTTATTTGTCAGAATATGGTATGTACAATAGTGTTAATTATATATAATATATGTTTCGTCATATTCTGCTATTTCCAGCGTACAAATACTCATTATAAACAAGGAGAATGCCTCTGATTATTATCGATTACTTTTAATAATAATAATAATAAATTTTTATAATAATATATTCGTCATTTTTATCTTTAATATAGTAAATATGTTGTAAAGGTGACAACCCTATGAAAGCACCTAGAAATAGCTGAAAAAAATAAAAAGATCCTGTATCTACACGAAATTCAACCTAATAAAGGAATATATAGTGCGATCATATCACATTTTACTGTGATATAATGCCGAATTGCTTTTAGAATCGTGCTCACATATTTCTACATCGTTACCTATATTCCAGTTCTGAATAGACCCAATTTGAAAGCGGCCAAAAATAGAATCAGTCTAGACCAAGTACACGATGTAGTCGTAAACAAAAATCTGGCTAGAATAGCATGCGAACCGACCAATCAAATGAAGTATTACAAATTGTTATTTGTCACGTTCATAGGTAGCTTTAGTTTTTTTTTTTGCGGCACTGGAATCACTGGTTAATAATCATCAATAGTACATCACATAATCATATTTTAAGCATAATCTTTCATAAGTAAACAATGAAAATTAAATATTTTATGTAATTTAATTATTTATAAAGAATTACACGTTCAAAGGTTTTTATAGTCACAGATCACAAAAGACAATAGAGCTGCACAGAGCACTCACTCAAGGAGTGTTGCCAACCGTATCGTGATGTATCTAATATTATTTATCGTGCGTAGGTATTGTATGTCGTACAGTTTAATTTAAATTATATTTCCAAAACTTTAGTACATAAAAATATTTATACATTCCTCGATCGCAAATTCGTCTGCTTTTTTTGATTACATGTAGCACGTTTATTGTCGTGTAACATTCTATCTTTGAATGAAAATTTTATTAAGATTCATTCAGCATCATGTCCTGAACAGGTAACAGACAGACCTCATTTATATTTTAAGCTTGAATTTCAGCCTACAATAGGTACACGTAATTTTTAACCTAACATTACCCAACATCAATTGTCGGCATTAGAACGAAAACTTCATAGATTATAGACTGATGTAAATAAATTATGAATTGTTACCTTCAAAGAGATACAATTGTGAATTCTTTGCTCTTTGTGGTATCCGAATACATTGGTAAAAGCGGAAATTAGGTGGGTAGTTGTAAGTAGGAAGGGCGCAGCGCGGGGTGGCAGGGCTGACTACGTGGCTACAGTGTTTGCGCAAATGCCCTGGCCCCAAGTTGAGTAATTTCCGCCGGGAGCCGTCCCTTCGGCATGCTTCATACTGGCCATTTTAAACTTCAGTACAAAATAACGGTTCAATATTGAAAAATATATTTTCTTGGCTATATATACATACTTAAGTGAGTTTGTTGGTCTTTTTAGCGGATTCACACGACTTATATAATATATAGTAAAGTTAAAACCCTAACCAGTTAGGAGTTATTTATATTTCTTTTGTTAAAAAAATTGTTACTATACTCTTATAACAGATAAGGCCACAGTGTAATCTTCATCCCATACGCTGGTCATAGAGCAGCAGGCGGACGAAGTAGCGGGTAGAAAGTAACATATAAATAAAATCATACGTCTGCGATAAAATGCCACTCACCTGTCCGAGTACGTCCAGATAAGCCGGGAATTAGTCGTGTTTTTTTATTTATCCGCCTTTTTCACTATAATGGAAAAATTTGGAATGAACGTGCAAATTAATTGTTTAGTATCCTCGTAAAAAACCCGTTATGCATTTATTTATTATGATTAAAAGGAAAGGGTTTTGTCATGACTTTCCACATTTCAAAACGGTAACCCTACTCGTGACCTCTCATGATGCATACAGGATGAGATATGAGTTGTATCTACAATATTTTAATGACAAAAATAAATAATTTAATATCATGGAATTAAAATGAACGTGTAAAAAATCAAAATGTTTATTCGAACACTACTCCACTATTCACGTAAAAAACTTGACATAACAATCATTTCCTCACTTGAACAAAAAAACTACGGAGTCTCCATAAATATTTTTATCAAGCTATCAAATCTTTAATCTTAAATCTCTAAATTAGGATATAAATATTCAGCCATAGACCATATAAATAACAATATAGTATATTTTAATAAGTTATTCAAAGCAACACTACGACAATGTGGGCGCGTTTTAATGCCAAATGTCGACATTTAATGTCCAATCGTGCGCTGATAAAAAATTCAATAAACGTGTTATTAATTATATATTTTTTACGTAACTGGTACAACAAGCTAATGACCTATCTAATGAAAGTGTCACCTATGCGTTTTTATTCGAAGATTTTATCCTAAAAATGTAAAGTTATATCTATTTATTTCCTCTTTATTGCACCAGAAGTATATTACAAACTACATAATAAGTAATAAGGCACAAAAGGCGGTCTCATCGCGTAAGCAATCTCTTCCAGACAACCTTTGGGTAGAGGAGAGAAGGTAGAAAGTGGTAAATGACGCAGGAATCGTCTAGAGAAATAAAAAAGGCATAGCAACACTAAAAACTAAATAATAATAATTTACATATAACAATTATTCAAAAAGTAACACGCGTTTCTTGTCCGTCCTTCTTGTGATGAATGGTAGATTTAAAAAAAATATTTCAATAAAGAATTTTTCTATTCTGTTTTATATGTTTATATTCCGTCACACGTCATATGACCTTCGTGATAGGGCGCGTTTCCATTGCTGCTCTACCAAACTCTTCAGTTTTATATATATTGGACAAATTTAAAAGAACTGCAATGAAATTGAGCTGATCAAAAACTTAGGACTATCTTATTTATTAGTGGTACAACTATTTTAATTTTTTTATAAATATAATACAGTCTATGGATGTCGTTAGTAGTGTTATCTATAGAGGTAATAATTTAAAAAAATTATCTATTATTTTATTACAATTAAAAAACTCTTTATTTCTTATGTAAGCTGAAATGCAAATAAGCTGATAGCTCACCTCGTGTTGAGCGGTAACCATAGCCTATATTCGAGTATATGAACAGTATTACGTATATCACGTTATCATGTAACACTCATGCGTAACCATTCCAAATGAAAGATATCTCGTATCCTATAATTTCTCCTTAAAACATTACTTTACATTTAATTAAATTTGAATTATATACATCACATAGGATTCCTCAGATACTCAGGTGTTCAGATCGTCCGATATGCACCCACCCTTACAAATCCTAATATATATAGGGATCACGTAGTACCTACATACATATTACATAACTACCCACTTTGCTCCTGAATATTACACGTTAGCTTCAGACAGAGCTCTTATAAAGTCTCTGCTTACCGCATGTATTTTAATACATATATAATATAGTCTTTTTATATACTTTTATCTTAAGGGTTAACCAAACAAGTAAGTAAGAAACCGTTATTGTGCAAAATAATACAGCAATATAGTAATCTCAGGACAATTCACACAGCGCCATCTAGACCCAATTTAAGCTAGCTAAAGCTTGTGTTATGGGTACTAGATAACTGATACATATATAGATTTTTTTTGTAAATAAATACATATTATACGTAGAAAACACCCAGACCGATACAAACAATCATACTCATGAATACAAATATTTGTGCCGTGCGAGGAATCGAACCCGCGACCATCGGTCGTAAAGCGGTGTACTAGACCGCTAGACCACTGAGGTCGTCAAATAAGGACTATATTTAAATAATTACTGATATCATACATTCGAATTTGGAACAGTTTTAGATAATGTACATTTATTGCAAATAAAAAATTATATTACTACTTCGTGCAGCGTAGACTGATCAGTCGAGAATCGGGGCTCTAAGTTTAAAAGTAAATTAACTAATAAATAAATATCGGGTAATCATTTGAAATGATTAACCCATTTCATATGGTTACCCAAATAAATTTATTTATATTATATTTGTGTATATCAAAACCGGTATTAATTCTCATAAATGTGAGATTGTCTTCATGTTTCTTACCTCTCGATGACTTATCTGAGTATGAACTTTACCATGCATTTGTATGTAATCTTTGAAATCTTTTTTTTAAAGCGATGTTTTCACTTTAATTATATAAAATAGGTTTATTTATGAATTCTAAAACCGGTTTTAATTTCTGATGTTTCTCATAAAAATACAACTGTTTTTATGTTTGCTACCTTTTGATGTCTTATCAAATGATTAAGTTTAGTTTTGTGTATCTTAACCCTTTCACGCAGACAACCATTATTATTATTATTATTAAATATTGTCGCGGGTAAACATTAGCGCAGTACAGGGCGTATCTTCCAAAAGATCTACCCGCATAAACTGCAGAGAGTGTACAATCCAATCGGCCAAACCAGCCGTCATAACAACCGAACAATGCTATGAAAAATTCATATAGCAAAGAGGAAGTCCCGCAATCGATAGCAGTCAGCTGATCCGGCCAATGTCAAGAGCGCGCCGGGGCCCGACTCGCCCCCACCGCCGCGACCACGCGCCCCCGCGCACACACGCACAGAAACACCCCTCTAACT